GAAAAAGAGCTTGCAATACACAGGCAGATATTTGTACATGAGGAGCAGTTTTGCCAAGCTGGCATTAAGACCTTGGGCATGGGGGTGGTTTGGGGACTTTTTTTTTTCTTTCCCTCCAACAGCTGCAGAAAAGAAACCTGCAGTGGGAAGGATGTTGCTGAAGACGGTGGGGTGGGTATAAAAGAATGCTGTTGATGTTCCATACTTCACTTTACCCTTGTCAGTATGGCCCATAACTATCTTTGCTTGACACAGTATAGTATAGTACTCCTGCGAAATCCTTTGGTGAGACTTATCTCTTTGTCACTGGATTCTGCAGTAAAAAGTGACTGACAGTTACTGGTTTCCACAGAGAGAAGAGACCAAGAGCTGAGTGATTATCTGATACATGATCGGTCAGCTCTCAGTGTTAAAGTTGATTTGGGACAGCCGCAGTGTCCTGCGGCAGCAATAAAGCCGGGTATACACATATATTTTCTTTGTTCATCCTGCGGGCTGAACGAAGAAAATATAACAGATTCCTCCATCCAGGCTTACAAGTGTTGATCGAAGAATCCCCTGCTGGACGCTTTTCTAACCAACTCCTTCGATCAGCTGATTAAGGAATGCCAGCTAGATGGGTGGCACCCAGTCTTCAAATTTCGGACGGTTCAGGACCTGGCCTAAATTCAATACATGTGCACCTGGCTTTAGCAGTGGAGAGAATATGTTTTACTGTCCTTCACTTTAAAGAGTAACTAAATTCACCTACAATTGCTCCCTTTCCAGTGCTGACATCTTCACCCGGTCTTCTTCTGTATTCAGAATCTTCGGCCATCTTGATTTAACTCCCGTGCCGAAACTGTACACTGAACTGTGCTGCAGTTATGCAATAGATTTGACAAGATCCAGCAAATGTAAAGCAAAAAAGTGAACATAAGGTTGTTGACAGTTAATTAGTTAAAGGCTATTTTACTAATATCTTCTAAATGTATTTACTTCTTGTGTTACAGTATGCCTACAAAGATGCCAGTTTCTCCAACAAGGAACTGCCCTAAAATGGAGGAAGATGGTGAGGATGACACCATGCAACATACCAGCGATTCAGGCCTCATAAAACAGGACTTTACTCATCAGGTGAGATAGTTTGGTGCAAAATGAAACACACGGAATACAAAATACTGACACCCAAAAGCACACGTAATATAATTCACAGTGCTTAGATGCAGTGGCTGCAGTTTTCTTTTATCAGGATTTATTTTCCATTATTTTTACCCGGTGATCCGCCCAGTATGTCTTTTTATTTTTCAATTTCCTTTAAAAGTCGCAGATACAGGGTTGAGATAACATTAGTGCTCAGCTGGGTGACTGTGGTCCAACATCCATTAGGCCTCATTCACACTGCCGCGCGTATATGCTCGTATTGTACCATATGCAGCATATGCAAACAAATGGCTCCATGCGCAAAAACAGAATGGAACCGAGATACGTACACGTACAGTTCATTAAAATTTCTATTGCGAATGATGCATTCTGGGATTGCATATAGTTCACGCATAAATCACCTGCACTCCATACAGCCTACAGACCTTGAGTAAAGGGTTGGTGCTTGAAGTGACAACACGGATGGCGCCGTGTCAGATACAGTCCATAATAGAAGTCACCAGCACTCGATGATATGTGCAAGAAGTAAAGCACTTTTTATTCAATCGTCACATGTGTCAAACAGTCAACGTTTCGAGGCCACGCAGGGTCCCTAAGAAGGGACCCTGCATGGCCCCCGAAACGTTGACTGTTTGCACATATCGAGTGCCGGTGACTTCTATTATGGACTATACGCACGTACATACGCGCATATACGCACGTACATACGCGCATGTGCGCGTATATGCGCAATATACAATTTTGCTCTTGCGTTGTGTGTGAATGAGGCCTTAGTATACAGACTGCCAGCACTCCTGAAACCTGTGTTTGATGCTCATTTACTTATACTTTTGTAGCGTGTACAGTATGTAACGTCTATATTTTTTAAAAGCTTGCCAGTGCTATGTTGCTTTAATCAAAAGTAGGAAGATATCCTGGCTTATGTATACCTTTTTTTTCTTAATAGGAAGCTTACCTGGCAGAACTTCAAATTAATACATCTGTGTCAGATGAGCACCACAAGTGTCTGCAAGTCAGCAGAACAGTGCGAGATGGTAAGATTCTGCTTAAACATTCTTAGCTGAGGTATATTCTAAATCTTAAAATACACATGTTCTTCTATAGATAAATAGATAATAGGATAGGAAGCACATCATTTTTGCAGACGGGAGTGAAGGGTTGCAATTTTCCGAATGCACATAGAAAATAAAATAAATACATACTGCTTAGTTCAGGAACCTACATTGTGTTACACATTAATAGAGTAAGCCCTACATATACTTAAGAAGCTCTTCTTTTTTTTTGTGCTAATTCACTGACATTAATATACAGTATGAATATCAGTTTTGTAGTGGGCATGCTTATAATAACAATATAGAATAGTTGGTGTAGGCCAAAATCATTTTTCTCTATCGTCCATTGAGGGACACAGCTAGCTTTCAATTAAGCAATGTAGGGTTATATTGCTGCTTTCTGGAAAAACACTAGGACATTAGGCAATAAAACTGAAGGCCTGTTACTTTAAGGCTATAACCCCTTCCACTTTACACCTTGCCAATTACGCTTATTGTCCTCTGGAGAATTGATGTCTACTTCCTTTCTACTAGAATTTTTGCTTGAATTTGGTAGATTACTACTGACGACTGCTGCTGCTAGATTCATGTCAGATAATTGAAATCCTGAAAGTATCTCCAGTCAGCCAACATGCACAGGTGGATTCACGTCTGATATATTAAGTGCTGGAAGTTTCTCCAGTCCAAAGCTGCCCATCCACCTTGCGATCATCGGACGAAAATTTAACCATCGTACGATTTTCATATGACGGCCCCATCCTGCCCCGATTATCGCGAGGTTCAATCAGCAGTAATTTTTAAAAAAGCACCTGGACGAATTGCGGTAATCGACCGCACGTATTTTTTGTTTGCACATGAGCAGTGTAAATCGTACAAATTTTGACGTACGGAAACGCCACCAACCTTGTGAAAATCGTATGATCGACCAAGGTTTTCTAACCTACTGGTTAGTCAAAAGTCGATCGATTGTAAATTATTTGCAGTTGTACACTGCCCATCAACCTTATGAATATCGGACGAAAACGCGATTGCATACGAAAATCGGCCGATATTTGTAAGGTGTATGGGCACCTTAACAGTCATATAGGTCTATTCACTAAAGGGAGAAGAGTTTGGAGCAGGCAGGAGAAGTGAACAATCTAGGACAACATAGCTGAATTGGAGAATTTTTCCAAATCGGCTATTTTGTCCTAGAATGTTCACTTCTCCTGTCTTCTCCAAACTCTTCACCCTTTAGTGAATAGACCTGATAGTTTTTTTCCCAGTTTCCATGCTGGTGTTTCCCCCTCTGATAGTCCTGTGTTTCTAGTGGTAATGTCTGCTTATATTCCAGCTACCATGACTTAACATTTAAGGTCAGGCCAGTACTGTCTGGGTATTCCTTTCAAATGTTAGCACCAGGGCCATGCCATGAGTAGACTGCAGTCTTATGTACTGTGTGCCTCCTTTTATATTGCTGGACAATGTTTTTTTTTTTTTTTACAACTGAGCAGTGTATTGTTTCTATGCTGCTTTGACTCATGTCAAGTAGCAGCTAGTGTGCAAAAGCTTTGGATACTGTGTCACAGCTGCATGTAGCATAATGGTCTTAATTCCGCCGTTTCAATTGTGTCCGAACAGCCTCCTCTTTGACACAGGCCCACATGCCCCTCCCTAGCACTGATGTCTTTCGATGGCACTGTGTGCTTACGTCCTGCACACACACCCCTTTCAATGTTTCGCTTTAACTTCTAGCCATACCATTAGAATGTTATCTTATGATCCTCCAATTTGGTTGTGAGTATCTTCATATAGTCTGTATTTCTCTATTTGCTTGTGTTGGTTTGAGATCCTAAGGTGTTGACTTACTCCCGCAGCACCCCTTGCAGTCTTTTCTTATATTTTCTTTTTTTTTATTCATCATTGCATTGGGTTTTTCTTATGTGTCCCTCTCCCAATTAAGTTTTTTGTATGTCATCTTTGTTGCGATTTTTCTCATTATATGTTGAATATTGGTTACTGCTTAGCATTGTAATTTCCCTTTTGTTCCTCAATAAAATGTTAAAACAAAAAATCCACTTTATCATAAAGGCCCACCAGTTCTATCTCAGGTGGAGGGACATCTGATTACTTTAGCAGAGATCTGTGAATCTTGCATATCCAATGCTTGGGTGCGAGAGGTGATCTGCACACATTACAAGATAGAATTTCATCTTCATCCTCCACCTCGATTTTGTTTGTTTTTTTTCATCACATATTCCCATGTCTCAGTAATGTTGGACCAACCTTTTTTTCAGCCATTCAAGGATTATTGGACCAGGGAGTTATTGTTACCGACCTTTTTTCAGGCATTCAAGGATTATTGGGAGTTAATGTTTCTGTTTTTTTTTTTTAATGGAAAGGTTTCATAGTTTTTACCTAAACCTTTTTACAGTTCTAAAGGAGACCTCCATCCCATCCTGGATTTAAAGGCATTCAACACCTTTATTAGTCCTCAAAATTTTTGCATGCATATTTACACATTCCTATATTTCCAGGTCATCAACGCTTTCTTTGTTTTGCAGTAAGCGAATATCACTCCCTTTGGCCTTGCCTTTTTATACATGTTCTTGTTTGGGTTCTGTGCCTAACTATGTAATTCAGATCCAGTTGGACAGTGCCACAGCAGTAGCTTACAACCCCAATTCCAAAAAAAGTTGGGACACAGTAAAATCCACATAAAAACAGAATGTAATGATTTGCAAATCTCAAACCCATGTTTTATTCACAATAGAAAATAGAAAAAAATAAGGTAATTTTGTAATTGATGTCAGCAACATGTCTCAAAAAAGTTGGGAGAGGGCACCTTCTGGCTGGTTATCAGCGCTCAGATCAAAAGCCTGCTTCTCTGTTGGTATGGGGATGCATTAGTGCATATAGAGTTTGCACATCTGGAAAGGCACCATCAATGCTGAAAGATATATCCAGGTTTTAGAACAGCATATGCTCCCATCCAGACGATGTCTGTTTCAGGGAAGGCCTTTTTATATTTCAGCAGAACAATGCTAAACTGCATCTATGACGACAGCATGGCTTCGTAGTAGGCGTTTCCGGGTGCCTAAAGCCCATTTCCACCTTTTGCGGAAGTATTTTCTAAAAATAAAGCCAGCAATGTACATGAGTGTACATGAAGCAGGAATATGCAGTTGCTGTGTATGAACACAGAAACTTACATTTGATAAGTGATTTTCCAACTGCTCAAAAATGCCTAGGTGTGAACCAGGCCTTAGTATTTATAGGTGTATTGTGTGCAAAGGCAGAGCTGGTGTTTAGTGATCATATTACAAAGAATCAAAAGGAGGGGACAGCTGGTTACAGCCTCCTTTACAATTTGACCCCAGTGTCAAACTGAGTTTCCGGTGGAGAAAATTTAGAATTTGTAGGATCCAGGTCATAAAAAAAATAATGCAATGTGAATCATATGTGAATCATAAAAATATGCACACATATACAGTATATAATCACTGCACCTCTACATTATCACAACAAATGCTAATCACTTACAAAGGTGAAAATGGACTTTAACTGGCTTTTCGCCAATTGAAAATATTTGGCACATCTTAAAACGAAAAATACGACAAAGAAGACCCAGGACTGTTGAGCAGTTAAGGTGGCCACACACCTTACGATAATCGCAGGAAATCCCGCGATTGTACGATTATCGTAAGGTGTGTGGGAGCCGTGCGACCTCTGCTACTGTAAGAATCGTACGATTTTCGGCGGGTGTGCAGTATGTTCGGAAGAGAAAGGCCGGACGGGCCGGTGTGCGCAAGCGCACACTGCCCGTTCAGCATTGCGGTCATCGGAAGCCCGCCCCTCAGCGGGGCGGGCTTGCGATCATCGCAAGTACGATCTGCCTGTCCAAGATAGGCAGATGGTACGTTTTTTTTTTTTAATTACCTTACAACCATCGCAAGACAAAAGTCTTGTAATGTGTGTGCCCAGCCTTAGAATCCTATATCAGACAAGAATGGGACAACATTCCTCTCCCAAAACTCCAGCAACTGGTCTCCTCAGTTCCCAGACGTTTACAGAGTGTTGGTACTAAGGTGATTAAAGATCTATTTGTTGAAATAGGAGGAAAAAGTCAACAATTTCCATAGGGCATACTTAATTGTTCAGATGACTGCATTATTACCATATATCCTGAGATTAAATGGTCGCTCTTTTGTCTCACCATTGTGCTTATGTACTATTTACAGAATTGTTTACATAGTTCCATGTCCTAATACCATGTCCAGTATACCCATCTATAGCCAACTGCTGCATCAGTTTTTGCATCCATTTTTGTTAAGCTGAACAAAGGTATTTTGTATGCTGTGTAGTATCATAGTTAGGCAACAAATAATTTTCTATGACTGTTTTAATTTGCAGGCACCCAGGAGAGTTTGGCCGAAAAGGAGCTGCAGTTGTTGCTCATGATTCGCCAACTGGCAACACTAAGAGACCAGTTGTTGTACGCACATTGCGAACATAAGAACGTTGCCGCCATGCTGTTAGAAAAGCAGCAGCAGCAGATGGAGCTTGCAAGGCAGCAACAAGAGCAAGTAAGAAAAACATTTAGTAAAAAGAAAGTTAGATATTGATAAATAATTGATGTTCCTCAGATTGAGCTTCTCATACATTGCCAGTATCTTTGTGTATTGCATTATTGCATTGCATTGCATTATTTGTACATCTTTTGATAGCTAGGAATTTTATAGTGTATTTATTTCTATTAAAATGCAGATTGCAAAACAACAGCAGCAGCTCATCCAGCAACAACACAAAATTAATGTATTAGAACAACAAATGCAGGTACTTTTTCTTTTCTTTTCTCTCTCTTTTTTTTAAATTTTTAT